AACTTGGATACCTAGGGAAGAAAAATACAGAAACTTTAAAAAAGTACTATAGAGGTAGGACATAGAACTTGCTGAATTGAAGCAGAGAAGTCTCATACTTAAATAATAATAACAACAATAGCTAACATTTTGTGCCTGACACTGTTCTGATGCCTATAAACTCCAAGAGAGCAAAAACCTGTCTCTTTCATTGTATACTCTCAACACCTAAATCAGAGCTTGGGAGCAGGGTAGACATTCAGCATATTTTTTTCCTAACTTTATTAAGCACCAACTATGTGTCAGGCATTGAACTTGGCACTAAAGATAAAGAGATTAAAAAACAAAGCTCCATCTCAGTTTGGGAGGATAACATTCTAGAGTAGAACCTTAACCAACCAACATTCATTAGGCAGCTCCTCTGGGCCAGCAATATGGGTGGGCACTGGGGAGACCAAGAGATGAGGAAGTCCTCTCCTTGCCCTGCAGGAGCACACCAGGATGTAGGAGGGAGGTGTCTATAACAGAAGTGTGTGTAAAGGGTTACACTCAGGAACAGGATGTGAGTTATCTGCCTGGAGGGGACCAGCACAGATAATTTTCATTGCCAGGCTTTAAGCAAAAGCAATTGCTGATCAGGAAGGTTATAGGATTCCAATATCAAGTGAGACTTTTTATGTAGCAAATTCCTACCCCTACTCCCAAGAGCCTCTACACATACTTCTTTAATGTCCTTAAACTGGGGAAACTGTTCTTCCAACCCAAGTACTAGGTTACACGACCCTCAGCTCTGTGACCATCTTTAGATTATATGTGCAGTAATACAGTGACAGAATTCAGACTCCAGTTCTGTAAAAGGGGCCTCAGTAGTTTATGTTCTATTATCCTCAAGGCATTTAAAAATTTAGGAGTGGTAATTGCTCAATAAACAGCAGCAACCGTTGCTACTATAGCTGTGTCCATGGCTGTAAATATCTACCCAGTGGCTCACTGGGAGTTCCCTACAAGAACTACAGGAGAGTTTGGGGGATTTCACACACAAACCTGGGACAAGCTCTGACCAAACTTGTCTCCCCAGGGTCTCCTACTTCCTTGATTTCTTGCTTGTATTCATCCTCTCAGCCCAGATTGGATACAGCCCCATTCATTTTCAGGCAAAGTAACCAAATTGTTCAAAGGACCAAGGAGAGCTAATCTGGTTGTGAGCAGCTGCAGGCTAACCCAGCACCTGGGGATCTGTGCAATTTAAAGGTCCAGACAGTTGTTTTGTGATGGTTCTAACAGCACATGCTGCAGAAAAAAAAGCACAAACGTGAATTGTCCCACTGGGTCAGGAAGTAAAGCTGGTGATACAAGTACCTTTGAGGAGGGAACAGCAAGAGAGATAGAAAACGTCTAGGAACTCACTAGTAGCGAGAGCAAATCCTTCCATAGTCCCCCATCCTGTGCTGGTCACTGGGGAAGGTTTTGCCTGGACTTTTCACAACCAGTGAGTGACTCTTCAGTAATGATGAAATGGGACATGATTCACAAATTCCAAATGTTACTTTTGAATCTAGGCACCTTTGATATTTTTTTTCATAATACCTTATTTATTGTTGAACGTGTTACACAACATATTGGCTCTCTAAGTTATGCAAGCCATGATGGCAGCATAGAGTAGAAAAACTGGTCTTTCAGTGAGACACAGATTACACAACACAGTGAACCAAAGACCACAAGCAAGTGCATGAACATCCCCTTGGATTATGTAATTAATAACCAGAAAACACATTTGATGGGAAAAATAAGAAAAAATGATTTTAAGCTTGTCCCCTGATCCTTCTCTGCTGTATAGTAAACATAAAAGTCTTCAGTAGTCTTATATCTTTCCTGTGTACTATGCTGAATTTGAAAATTTTCAAATTAACACACTATATGGATTTATTTTGTGGTTTTGGGGATCAAACCCAAGGGCCTTGCACAATACTAGGCAAGCGATCTACCACTGCACTATATTTCCAGCTTCTTATTTTCTTTTTAAAATTACCTTTATATGAAAAGGTCACTAAAGGCTTCAAAACTACAACACTTTATACTTAAGAGGAGCATTTTTCATCCTGTTCAGTTTGATTATAATTGCACATGCTTCAGTAAGACACAGTAACTGTCATTAAGTAAGAATTACATATCTTACCTTTTCTATTTCTTATGTAGGGGGAGGAATTAAAATGGTCATGAGCTGGCCTAAGGTGTCACTAACACTGCTTTCATAAACACTTTCTTGGACAATGGAAGGGGATATTTGAAGTGTGGCAGGGAGGGTAGACCTGGATTCTAATTCTGGCTGTATAGCTAAGTTGGCCATCACTTAAACCGTTAGAGCCTTAGTTTTCTTCTCTATCAAATATGTGCACAACTATCCTGTGATACAAATAAGGACTGGGACCTAGCATACGGGTGAACACGGTTTTTAGTGGAAGGCACTGAGTTAAACTTGGCTTCAAGTCCCAGCCCAGTCACTCACAGTGAGACCTTGGGTTTATTACTTTACAATGCTCTGCTTTGCTTTCTAAGTCATAATCCGTGCTTTCACACCTATGCTGAGTATAAAAGGAAATGTCATCACTTGATGCAATCTGTGAAGTCTCACCAGATGAGGCTGTTCCCTGCATTATTTGCCTTACAAGTACTTGGCACTCAGACACCTGCTGCATCTCTGAACGCAGGGGTACCAGACTGTCTTCTGAAGAGTATGTTTGAAGGGAATCTATGGCCCACTGAACCCTCATAGTAGAAAACTTGGGATAGGCTGAACAGCACTGCTATAAGCACCGATGGGGGAGAGGAATATGGCAGACAGCGGCAAAAGCAGAGGCACCAACTGCCCACCTTTTGTTAACGCATTTAAATCTCACCTTGGCTCCTTGCTCCAGAAAAGGTGTGCCTGGGCTCAGCAAGAGCCAGCTGCGGGGGCCTGCCCAGTGACCCTGCTTTATTTTATACCTAAGAACTACAGCGGCTGGCTACAAACAGCTCCTGGAGAGCCAGCTTTCAGGTCAAAGTGTACTGTACAGCGGTACTTGCCGAGAAAGCCGGGGACTCGCGCCTCGAATGGCCAATAGAAGAGAACAGGGGCACGACGGTGCTAACCACCCCAGCAGCCACCCAGTGGTTGTGTTCCCCAGGTAAACGAGCCGCTTACCACCTAAACCCCCAGCCTTACAGCCAGTAGCTGCAGCTCCGAGATCCCGGCCTCAGAGTCACAGCATCCCTGCCCTTACCGTATCCAGGAAAATTTAAGAACGTCTCATGCAGCGAGTCAGCAATGGATGATTCACTGATACGTAAATTAATTGATGAGACTTGGACAGCGTGGCCCTGGACCTTGCTGGAATTTAAAGATCCAAGATTACGGAGGTGGAAAAGCCCAAATCAAAAAGTCCTAATGGCCCTGATCTTGGAGCAGCTGGGCAACACATGCGATCCTAGCACGGGTCCCCAGAAAAGGGGAAACGAGAAACGTTTTAAGACAGAGCATAGCAGAGCAAACCAACGCGGATGCAAACAATCCAGGCATAAGCAAGGTAGCGCTGGCACCACCTCAGGGCCTCAGTTTTTCTTTCTGCAAAATGAGGGTTTTGTACTAGAAGGTAGCCTAACCGTGTTGTTACTATAGAACCCTACAATATACCAGGCTGATGCCGCCCGAAAACCGGAAAAAGAGGGGAAAACAACAGAAGACAACAGGCAAGATAAAGAAGAAGTGGGTGGGAAACTATGAGGAAAGACGCGGGACGCCGGAGACAGGCGTGGCAGGTTTTCAGCTTTACTCCCCCTCCTCCCACACCTGGGTTCTCAAGGATGGGTCAAGGCCCCGCGCCCAAAGAGTTTGGGCACCAATAACCACTCTTCAATCTTCACACCAGTTTCTGGAAGCCCTGGGGCAGCTGCTGGGCAGCGCAATAATGCCTACCAAGGACGGAAGAGGGGATGATCCCTCTGGGGTCCGGAAGGCAGGTGAGCGAATCCGGGACTGGGCAGTAGGTGAGATGGACTCAATTTGGGATCGCAGAGCGCCCGTGTCCCAGCTCTAGTCCTGGGCAGACCAAATTTCATTTCCCAATTTTGAACATGGATAAGGGGTGTCTGGAAGAAAAAAAAAAAAAAAGGAAAGGAAAGAAAGTTGCAGAACTTTTTCCCCCCAACCCTGTCATAGAGGCGGGACCGAAGGGCGGTGCCTGCATCTTGATTCGCTGGCGGCTGGCGTGGGGAGGCTCGGATTGGCGCGCGGGGTCCGGGCCGAGGAGAGCGGGCGTGGGGGAGGGGAGCGGCCCTCCCCGCCCGCGGGATCGGCTCGCGCCGGGAGCGGGTTAATTTCAAATCGGGGACTTGACTGCTCCAGGACGGTCACGCTCTTTCTGTCCGCACGCCGGCCCGCCAGTTCTGGTCCCGGCGTTTCCCTCCGGCACCCACCTCGGCGCGGCGGAAAGACAGACTGAGTGCCCGACACACGGGCTCCAGGACCTGGGCGGATAAGGAGTGCCAAAGAGTCCAGGCTCGGCCCGGGTCGGCTCCAACTGTGAGATGGTCTGACAGGTCAGCGGAACGCAGAGGGACATCGCGCCGGGCCTGCCGGCACCAGGAGCTAGCTTGGGCGGGCGGCGGCGGCGGCGGCGGCCGTTTCCCGCCTCTCGCTCCGCCGGGGGCCGTGGAGGGAGGAGCTGAGCTCCCGCGCAGAGGGCGGGGGCGAACGAGGGGGAGGGGCGGGGATGTCGTGGTTCCGGGCGCGGGTTTGCCCGCGCTCAAGCCCCGCGCAACTAAGGGGCGGTGCCGGCCACGGTCCGGCTTTCCGCGCCAAATTTTTAAATCGAAGGCGGAAGGTCCGGCCCCGCCCCTAGTGTCGTCAACCAATCGGAAGCCCACGACATGTCCTCTGATTGGACGGCCACTGTTGCCCTGGAAACCATGAGGATGCTGTCCGGGAACTGAAGGGCGGGAGGCGGACTGAGGACTGGGGGCGGTGCATTTGGAGGGGAGGAGGGGAAGTGTTCTGGGCGCGGAGCTGGTGACCGCAGGGGGACTGTACCTGGATGCCGTAACTGAGCAAATGCAGCCTTCGGTGTGGAGTCGAATATCGTGGCGTGAACCGGCCACCTGGATAGCGAGTACATAGCGCTCTGCATCTTTAAGGAAGTCTTTTGATAAAGGAAAAAAAGCACAATCCAAAGGCGCTCTTTAAATGCCCAGCAGTACGCTTAGAGCTTTGGGGCTGAATTTGGAAGTTTCGTATCAAGCAACTTCCCAAAACTTTACTGTAGAGCGTGTGCACGTGTGTGTAAGGGGGGAGATTCAAGCACCTAGATGCAGACTCATATTCAGATACTTGGGGTCGTGTGTGCTCAGCCAGAACCCCGGGCTTGTGCGCTCAGGCCGGAGCCCTGATCTGTGGACAGGTGGGTGCTTGCTACGGTGTATTTGGTGGGGTCCCGAGAATGGCCCACCTTCCCTAAAGATGGGAGGGGGCTGTCACAGAACATTCTGTGGTTGCTTGAAGTCTCATGACAGTAAGGTTTTATGAAGGGATTTACTGGTGTTTGTTGGGGTTCTCTGCCCAGTGGAGCTATTTGTCATCGGAAATAAATTATAAGTCTAGTTTGTCATTTTTTCGTTAGTCTTTGTTTCTTGGCCTGTTGTATCCATGAAGGAATTTTTAGTGGAAGATCTTGTTCTTATTTTTCTCTAACTTTTTCTATTAATTTTTTTTCTTCAAGGATATTGACTTTTGATTAGAATTGATTGGACTACTTAAACCATTGGGATTTGGGAGGAAGCCAGCTTTTTCGTTTTTAAAGAAACACTAAATGTATGAGAAATTGACAGAATGGAGAATGAAAAGGTATTTTTTAACTTCAATATTCACTGCTTCAGTTTTAAATGAAATTTCATCCTGACTTTACTTCTTAATTTTTCATTTTCTAATGTGTATTAATGCCCCTTTTTGGTTAGCCTTTTTTGAAAAAAAGATCCAGAAGGAATGGAAATTTAGTTTTTGAAGAAGAATAGGATAGCCCAGAGTTAGTAATATTTCTATTTTAATGATTTGGTAGATGTCTCAAAGAGATAAATAGAAAAGATATTTTTAATAATAAATTTGTTACTTGCATTACAATATTTCTGAGGATTCTTGAACTGTTGGAATTTAGAAAGTGCATGTGATGTGATCCAACATTTGATTTAATTTTAAGATCATTTTCTTCTAAATTATCAACTTGTTTAAATATTGGGGCTTGAAGTGCTGTTTATGACATAAACATTTTGTAAAACTTTTAGAAGAATTTTCAGTGGCAGAAGGGTGTCTCAATTGGTACCTAACTACTTGATAGGTTTTAAAAAACAAACTTACATGAAAATTTCCTAAAGGTTTTAGATGTTAGTTAAATATTGCTCCTAGCAGGGTGAGGCAAAGAGCTGCAGTTTTTAGACAAGCTTCATTCTGGAGTCACCCTCCGGTGGTGCTTCACACTAACTTCCATATAAGAGTATTATATAGAGAGTGGAAAGGTCCAGTTCCAGTCACGTGTGACATCCCTCAGCCCAGTGTCCTCTTGGGGCAAGATTCAGTGAAAATACACGTGGAAAAGTACTTGATAAATCCTTAGGTCATAGGCATGCCACGTTCCTAAAATTATTGAGGATTTAGTTGGGTCTCTGTTCTTTCACTTATTGCCATTCCAAGTATTTTTCTTTAAAATAGATATAGATAGGAAGAGTTTATAGGTTCCCTGGTGTCCAAAAGTGGAAGGAACATGGTCATCACTAGTTTTATTTATGAACAGCTGTTAATTTATCCTTTTTTTTGTCTCAGTGCTTCTGCCAGGCACTAGTTTTGTGACCTTGAGTAGTTAATTTTACTTGCCTTGGTCCCATTTTCAACATCTGTACAGTGAGAGGGTGGATGTTGAAAGAGCAGATTCTTCAGGTTAGAAGTCCTGCTCTTTGGCATTCCACAATAAGCCGGACCATATGCAAGCCCTCACCTTTGCTTGGTTCTCTTCCATGTCAGTGGTGTTTAACTGAGCACATACTGCACACAACCATTATATTAGGTGGATAATGGCTGTCTAGATGCCTTATTGCAGTGTCATTAGGAAAGGCTGCTCCCAGGACTTGGGATCATTTAAAACTATTGGTCCTATTAGGGGAAGATGAGTGAAGAATAAATCTAAACTTATTTTAAAATGGAGTTTAAAATTCTAAGTCCTAATTAAAGTTCCTTTTTGATTTTTGCAACATAAGATGGAAAACATTTAGAGCCATGCTTTTTCCAAAGTTGAAAGTGAGACATGTAATTATTTGAATGGATAGTAATAGCCAGTAGTAGGTGTGGTAATGCACTGCTGTAATGCCAGCACTGGAGAGACTGAGGAAGGAGGATTGTGAGTTCCAGGCCAGCCTGAGCTATATAGTGAGATCCTGTCTGAAACAAGCAAACAAACAAACAAAAAAGAATAGCCATTAAATGTCAAACGATTATTAAAATTATCTTTAAAATCAACTTTGCAATCTCATTAGGCATTTTTTCCCTAGCAATATTCCTTCGTTGTACAATTTTAGAGACAAAAGTTATCTGTTAAGTCCAATTTTGCAATAGATTTAATTATTTACTTCTTTTGAATCAGGAAAACCTCTTTTTTGAGCCACATAAAAGGGGACTGATGAAAACACCCCTAAAAGAGTCCACAAAGGCGAATATAGCGCTGGCGGAGATCCAGCCTGACTTCGGCCCTTTAACCACGCCCACCAAGCCCAAGGAAGTATCCCAGGGAGAGCCATGGACACCAACAGCCAATCTGAAAATGCTTATCAGTGCTGTGAGCCCTGAGATCCGTAGCAGAGATCAGAAAAGGGGGTTGTTTGACAATAGAAGTGGATTACCTGAGGCCAAAGACTTTTTACATGTAGGTTTTCAGAAGGCTGGGTGGAGATTGGGGAATTTGGGGGTGTGGGGGGGGTCTTGAGGTCTGCAGAAGTACCAGCAATATAAAGCACGGCCACGCTCAGGCTGTTATTAACCTCCCTCAGAGCACTAGAAGGGTTGGGGCCCCATCAAATACAGCCCTGGGAATTCTGATCCTTTGAGTGGTTTTCATTCTAGCATCCCTTTCAGATTTGCCCAGCACTGACTCTTCCAACCTTTTCTATCTCATACTTTGCAGCTGTCTAAGCTAAGCATGTGTGTGTAAGAGGTGTTAGTCATTAAGCAGACGCCCCTAATAAATCTGTCAAACTTGATTTCAGAATGAGACATTATTTACCTTTTCCTTTATAGGAACACTTATCTGGAGACGAATATGAGAAATCCCAACCAAGTCGAAAAGAGAAAAGTTTAGGATTGTTGTGTCATAAGTTCTTAGCCAGATATCCTAACTATCCCAACCCTGCTGTGAATAATGACATCTGTCTTGATGAAGTTGCAGAAGAACTTAGTAAGTATGCAAAGAGTTTGCTGAAAAGGTTAATAATTAAACCTGCTTTATGGACTTAACCCTTTGAGACCCATGCTCACAGAGCCAGGGTTTGTACAGAAATGATAAGTCTCTCAAGTCCTCTTAAGAATAATGTTGAATGGTTTCTAATTTCAATGAATCTTAGAAGCAACACAAAAAAATCACAGTGGAGGTTGCTTCTGGCTGCTGGTTGTCTCTGAAGGTCTACAGGAAGGCAACATTGTTTTATAACTTGTCTCACAAACAGCTACAACTCTGAATGTTCATCTTGGCCCTCTTGTGGAGCCAGTGTCTTCATGAGACCAGGACTTGTGTGTTTCCCAACACTGCCACCATTAGACTGAGGACTGATGGGTTTGCAGAGTGTTTGACAAAAGTTACTCAGTTTTTATCACCTTCTTTCATGGACTTGAATCTAATTATAGCTAAAAAGGGGTCTGTGACAAATTTGGGGTATTTTTGGAATCATGTAAATAACCTAAAAGTTGAAGAGGTATGCTAATAGGATAATGTATTTTAGTATATAGCTATCACCCAGTGAAGAAAAGTTTTGCCCATCTAATACATGTCTATAGATATCAACTTTGTATCACACTTTATGAGTGTTATTTAGAGTCATCTACCTAGTTAGGATGTACTTTTTAATTCAGCAGGTAGCTACTGATCATCTGCTATGTGCCAGGCAATGTTGTAGAAGTTTGTGATACATCAGAAAACAGAAAGGGCAAAATCCCTTTTCTGTGGAACCTACATTCTGGTGGGGTCATAGATATTGAACAAAGAACACAAGTAATGACATGAGTATTAGAAGGTAATATGTGCCCTGGGGTGGGGGGGGAAGAATTAAGAACAGGGCAAAAGGATCAGGAGTGTTGGAGGTATACGTCACAGCTTTAAATTAAGTGGACAGGTCAGGCCTTGCTGAGAAGATGACATATGAACCAGAACTTGAAAGAAGTGAGGCAGGGAGCACTGAGGATATCAGGGAGAAGGGATTCCCTGCAGAAGCAGCACCTCTGTGCAAGCTCTACAGAGGCTTTCAGGCTAGGGCTTATCTTGCAGGTCTTAGGAACAGCAAGAAGCCACAAGGAGGCAGTCTTCTTGAAATAGTGTTTTTATTTATTTATTCATTTATGTATTTATTTTTGGTGGGACTGGGGTTTTAACTCAGTTTTTCACACTTGCAAAGCAGGTATTCTACCACTTGAGCCACACCTCCAGTCAGTTTTGCTCTGGTTATTTTGGAGATGATGCGTCATGAACTATTTGCCCAGACTGACCTCGAACTGTGATCCTCCTGATCTCAGCCTCCCAAGTAGATAGGGTTATAGGCATGAGCCACCATCACCCAGCTGAAGTAGTGTTTTATTAAGCACATTTCCAGAAAGGCTGTATTCCATCAAATATTTGAATTGAAATCAGCATTGAAAGTAAATTTCTGGAATGTAGAGAATTCTAATATGCAGAATCCTAATTAAACTCATTTTAACTAGATTGATGGGAGTCACAGAATTATTACTAACATCACTTTGTTAGGTAGCTAGAACATAGGCAAAATTTTGGTGTGATTTTTAAAGCTCCATTACATATATATATATATATATATATATATATAACTTTTCTGCAATCTCAGCACTTTATACCGTGATTATTGTAGGCAAGGTTTGTGTGTGTGTGTGTGTGTGTGTGTGTGTGTGTGTGTGTGTGTGTGTGTGTGTTTGGGAGAGTGATGTAAGAAATGGGTTAGAAGGCATGAGATTTAGAATATTTAGGACTTAGTTTTGCCACTTGTCAGCTGTTCCCTGGGGTGAGCTACTTAGCTGGTCTGAGTTTCTATGTTCTCATCACGAGTTAAGATAAAAATGCCCTGAAACTCATGTCACATATTAAGCCCTCATGAAATGTTGCCTTTCTAATTATATTAACTTGTTTCTACCCATCGAGAGCTGGAACGTATTCTCACCTTCACACTGTTGAGTATGTGTGCTTACATTAAATAAAATTATGTTACTCAGAACCTACTGGCTAATTTAAATCCATAGAAGAAAAACTTAAAATTCTAAACACATTACAGAAGTCTGACCCTATTAATGTACAATCACACCTTCTCTGTAGATGTTGAACGTCGACGAATTTATGATATTGTGAACGTCCTAGAGAGCTTACACATGGTGAGCCGCCTTGCCAAGAACAGGTACACTTGGCACGGGCGGCACAATCTCAACAAAACTCTTGGAACTCTGAAGAGTGTTGGGGAGGAGAATAAGTATGCTGAGCAGATTATGATGATCAAAAAGAAAGAGTATGAGCAAGAGTTTGACTTTATTAAGAGTTACAGTATAGAGGATCATATCATCAAATCAAACACTGGCCAAAATGGACACCAAGAGTGTTTTGTTGAGCTCCCTGGAGTGGAATTTCGGGCAGGTAAGAGATGTTATTGAAAAGCTCAGGCTAGCTGGGCATGGGGGTACATCCCTATAATAATCCCAGTTACTTTGGAGGCAGAGAAGGGAGAATGGTGATTGGAGGCCAGCCTGGGCAAAGTTAGTATGGGACCCTATCTGAGAAAGAAACTTTAAAAAAAACAAAAGGACTGGGGGTGTGGCTCAAGTGGTAGAATGCTATTGAGCACAAGACCCTGAGTTCAATTAAAAAAAAAAGTGCGAGGAAGGGAAGAAGAAAGGGAGGAAAAAACAGGCTGTATGGCATTTCTCATAGGTCTCGGGAAAAGACCCCATGATGCTCACTGTGCTAAAGCTACTTGGCTTACAGTGTTAAAATGCTGCAGTTGTCAGCTGAATGATCAAGTGGTGGTATTTTTAGCCTTGTTACTTTAGAAGTCACTTGTCCCTTCATGAATTTTAATTCTCTAATCCTCATCCTTCTCCAAAGCTTCTGTAAACAGCCGTAAAGACAAGTCCTTAAGAGTGATGAGCCAGAAATTTGTGATGCTGTTTTTGGTGTCAACGCCTCAGATAGTAAGCCTAGAAATAGCTGCCAAGATTTTAATTGGGGAGGACCATGTGGAAGATCTGGATAAAAGCAAGTTTAAAAGTAAGTGTCATGGACTCCTGTGGAATTCATAAATGATAAAGTCTCAGTTATCAACTGATTTCCAGATGTACTGGGCACTAGCAGCTCTTCTCTCATTGAGCCTGTATCTTCACTTCTCAGTGGTACTGCTCTAGTTAACTTATAGGATTCAAAGGTTTCTATAGCTGTTCCTATTTGTCTGACACTTTGGCTTCATAGTAATACTGTCCCCATTTTACACTGGTAGAATCTGTACTGTCTGAGCTCTACAAGAGCAGTAAATTGTAAAGTAGAACTGGACCCTAGATCTCTGCTCCAACTTGTCATTTGAAAGAAGGATTTTAGCTAGATTACCCACCATAAGTTTGGAAGGGACCATTGGTTGGGTTCTTAATATAGAGCTCTGCCTCCATCACTATGCCAGACTTTGCAAGAACCTCTACAAGGAGAAGGAATAGAGAAAAGATGTGGAAATAAGTGCTTACTGATGGGGTGGGGATGGGCTGCACAACTGTCTCTGCTGCAGGGCTAGACTGGATATAGGTCACTTGTGGGATCTGGCTGTGTAGAGGAAGAGTCACTTTGAGTGACTATGGTGGTCATGGGAATTGCTAGGGAATTCTCACACAGAGACGCCTTCCCATACTGTAATGCTGTACTAGTCCCATGGGAGTGAATTCAGACATCTTTGGATTGAAAGTGTATTTATTAAAGATAGGATTAAGTAGAGAGTAAAGGCAAGAATGTTGACAATTGGCTTGGGAGACCTGCAATTTGAGAAAACATGTCCTGATACTACCAGTGGGTCGCCTTCTTTTTCTGAGTCACCAGACAGTTTTCAGCTCTCTGTTTCACTGGTTAGTCATAGTGTTGGAAGCTATTCCAGGAACTGCAGATGTTAATTTGCTGAATCCCCAGGGAATTCAGAACCTGCTGCAATGGCTATGAAGAGGGAGGCTCAATTTGTAATTTTATACTATCAAACAGAAGTAAACACAAGACTCTTTGTAACAAACCTTTTTAAGATATGTGAGATTTATAGAATTAATGAATCTATGTTTTGCCTATGAAATAGGGCAATGTAAAAGTTTACACATTTTGTTGGGGTACTGATTTTTCCATGCTTAGTATATGAAATAAATCTTGTTATAAACTGTTGTGAGTAGAAAAGCAATACTTTTATCACTGATGCTTTATTTCCATTTGTTCATAAAATTCTTCTGACTCATTAGAAGATACCTAGGAATGGTGACTTATAAATAGGGTGATCTAAACAAGTCATTTTTCTTTTTTCATCATGTGCTGTTGTCATTTCAAAATTCAGAACCTGTAGCAACTGTATTTTAAATATTTAAAAGTATTTTTTGGTTTTAATTAAAGTAGCATCACTAGAATAACTTAAAAGGAGGCAGATGTTTCTGTCTGACATTGACAGGATAGCTTTTAGAATATACATGAATTTCTTATGAAGCAAAATCCTTTGATGTTTCATTATTCTATTAAGTGGTATATATACTTTTTTTCCTAGCAAAAATTAGGAGGTTGTATGATATAGCTAATGTTCTGAGTAGCCTGAATCTTATCAAGAAAGTGCATGTTACGGAGGAAAGAGGTCGAAAACCAGCTTTTAAATGGACAGGCCCAGAAATCAGTCCAAATACCAGTGGTATGTATTTTTTTTCTTTCATTTCTTTGCTGTTTTTTTTTTTAGTTAATGCACATTTGGAGAGATTCTCTCTTCTCCTTCTTACCTACACCCTCCACCTGGAAAGGACATATACAAATGATGGAAAAACCGATTAAATATGAGTGCCCATATAGAAAGTTGACTGCTGGTTGCATTAGCAACCTGAGCTCCATAACCACCTTCTCCAGCCCTGTGTCTAGGAAGCAGAATTTGAATGTGAGAGGATTTACAAAGCTGAAAGCACTAGAGAGCATGAGATCAATTGCTCTTGTTCTTACGCTGCTCAGTAACCACAACAGAACCTGTACACATTGAGAATATGAAATGAGTCCATTCTGGTTTCAAGGTAGATATTTTCAGTCTTCATCTGTGATGTTAACGTTTTGCATTCCACCAAAGACCCACATCACTGGGAAAGGGTAAGAACTTGAACCATGGAAGCAGAGGGAGAGTTAGATTCCAGTCTCGGCTCTGCCCCCTATTAGCTGTGTAATCTCAGGCATGTTACTTCTCCAAGACTCAGTTTCCTCAGCTGGGAAGAACAATGGTGCCTTGGTGGGATATTTGTGATTTGGAATATAATCTCAAGAAGAGGTCCTTTGGTATAGGAATTTGGAGTGAAAGTTCTAGGGCCCAACTGACAATGTCCCCATACTGCTAGCTGAGAGAACTTGAGCCAGCCATTGGCTAATATCTTTGTGTGTCCATGCTCTGATCTCTGACATAGGGATGCATTTCCTAGGAAGAACCTACTTAGTAGAGCAGGTATAAGGATCACCATGTTTTATCAGCTCTAACACTCCACTGATTATAAGACACAATACATCACTAAGAGAGAAAAATCAGTAGCAACTACACTCTAACACTTCATTGGTTAAAGATACAGTCTATACGCCATATCTGCACCTTCCACATCCAAGGATTCAGCCAATCAAAGATTAAAAATATTAAAGATTTTGATTTTTGTCTGTACCAAACATATACAGACCTTTTCTGATCATTATCCCCTAAACAACGTAGTATCACAACTATTTATACACCGTGTGGATGATATTAGATATTATATATAATCCAGAGATGATTTGAAGTATACAGGAGGATGTATATAGGTTATATGCAAATACTATGTCATTTTAAGCAAGGGATTTGAACACTGAAGTTTTTTTTAATAACGTTCATTAGCATATATTAGTTGTACAGGGAAGTTTCATTGTGACATTTATATATGTGCTTACAATGTACCTTAATTAGATTCACCCTGTCATCTTTCTCCCTCATATCCCCCTCCCCCTTCTTAAAACAGTTTCAACAGCTGTCATTGTTCTATTTTTGTTCATGTATACAAAGTACATTGATTATATTCGCTCTCCTGCACCTCCTCCTTTTACCCTGCCCCTCCCACTGGCACCTATCCCTGGACAGGACCTGTCCTTAATTTTTAAGTGTATATTGATTGTTCCAGGGGTTTTGCCTTGGTATTTCAGACATGTATATATCATACTTTAATAAGGTTAACCCTCTCTATTATTTACTTTTTCTCTACTGCCTTGCTCCCCTATTATTCAACAGCCTTCGGTGTGTTTTGTTATGCTATCTTCATACACAGATGCAATGTATTTCAATATTATTCACTCTCAGATTTTGGCATCCAAAGCAGATTCTGGAACTAATCTCCCTTAGATGCCAAGGGATGATTATACAGTGTGGTTTCAGAGATACAACATGAAATATTGTTTCTCACAATTCATTGAATAAAATAAACAAAGCTACACATGTAAAGTAGGACAGTAGCACATAGTCAATGCTCTGTAATTGCTACCACTTTTACCTTAAAATCATTTTAGAACGACATTTTGATTTTATATCTTGAAGACAGACCACTTGTACTTCAATATACTGACTTTTTCTGTTTCAGGCTCCAGCCCCATCATTCCTTTTGCCACCTCTGATTTGGAGGTAAGGCAGTCTACAAAAGAGAACTGTGCCAAAAATCTCTTTTCCACACGTGGGAAACCAAACTTTACTCGACACCCATCTCTTATTAAACTGGTAAAGAGTATAGAGAGTGATCGGCGAAAGATAAATTCTGCCCCCAGTAGCCCTGTCAAGACCAACAAAGGTATGTTGGGGTCCACTAGGAAAAATTCCTTTTTGTTTGATTTTTTTTTAGCCTGTCTGATTCCAGCAATTCTTGTTAAAGAGAATTGCTTCAATATTCATATACCAAGCCGTGTAAGCCTAACTTATTTATATGAATTATAAGATAAAAGGTAATTTATGTGGTTTATTGAATTACTGTGCAGCTTTGGAGGTAGGTGCGTATTTTCTGTTCCTTTAACGTTAGTAAGGTTTTATCTGTGTGAATATTTATTCTTTAGCTCTGACCCTCCCCCCTTCTGTTTTATCAGCTGAGAGTTCTCAGAATTCTCCACCTTTCCCAAGTAAAATGGATCAACTTGCAGCTATTTGCAAAATGCAGTTAGAGCAATCAAGGTAAGTTGGCAATGCTCTTTACTAACAGGGTGAATTGTATTTGCATTGTATTATTAAAATTGCTTACTTTATGTGAGAATAGTTACTTGCTTTGGAAACTAGAGAGAGAATTTTTTCTGTGTCTCCTACTCAGTCATTACAGAAACTATTGCTAGTTTCATAGTTTCAAAAAAGCGTGGCTTTAACCTGGGGTGTAATATGGTAGAACACTTAGGAGAAAATTATTTCCATTGTGTCATGTTTTAAATCTTATCTTTTAGTGAACCCAGAAAGAAAGTGAAAGTTCAGCTAGCAAGATCTGGGCACTGCAAACCAGTGGCCCCTCTGGACACCCCAGCAACTGCTGAGCTGGAGCTGACAGCACCGTCCCTCATCCAGCCCCTGGGGGTGGTCCCCCTGATCCCTAGCCCACTGTCATCTGCAGTGCCGGTGATCCTACCTCAGGCCCCTGCGGGCCCATCCTATGCCATCTACTTGCAGCCTGCCCAAGCCCAAACCGTGACGCCATCCCAGGGCCTGAGCCCAACAGTCTGCCCCACCCACTCCTCTAAAGCTACTGGATCAAACAACTCCACAGATGCCACCACTGAAAAGGTCACCAATGATGCCACAAAGTCCAGTGCCTCCAGACCTGGAAGCTTGCTGCCAGTGTCAGAGAGACAAAATGCAAAGAAGGCTGCTGGAGAAAGAGGCTCAAAGAGAGCAAGTGTGCTGGAGGACAATGGTTCCAAAAAGAAATTTAAAGAGGATCTAAACGGACTTGAAAATGTCTCCACAGTAAGTACAATCTTGAATTGTTCTTTAAAATTTTAGGAATCCCCTGGGTAATTAAAAGAGAATTTGGTGACTTGTGAAATTTACAGACCAAAGAGCAGTCTCTTAGAAGACAGGGACCTGTTCCTTAGCATCCCATGATCCAAGTCAAGGCCCAGACAGCTAATCCCCTGACTTTGATGATGTCAGAGACATTTTTAACCTTTGGAGGAAGGGATTACTTGATGTCTTTTTAAAGCACCACAGGTGGCTGTCCTTAAGTCCATTTCTCCATCACATACTGGAATGCAAACACCTGTCATGAAGGTCATAAATAATTTACAAGCAGGCCTAACCCGGATGGATGGGTGTATAGGATTCCTGTGACTCCTGTGTTCTGAGTCATTCCTCCATGTCTGTTTGATGTCATGTGTCTGGCATCTGTTGTCGAAAAGATAATTTGTTCCCTGTTTTTAATTTCTAGCTTAAATGTAAACCACAATTTCTATTTCATGTAAATTGAAAAGCCAAACTGAACTAGGCAACTTGTAGGTATATTGGATGCATTGGTTTCTAAAACTATTGACATTTTAGGTAATTTTTTTCCCAGGTGGAAATTAGCTCAGGAAAGAATTAATATTTGTTGGATGTCTACCCATAGTTCAGATTGTCATAGATAGTGGATTCCTTTACATACCTTGTCTTACTCTCCTCACTTAGGACAATTATATATGAAAGACAGTGTAATCAAGTAAATGCAACTAAACATGGAAGTAGATGTTAATCTCTCATTTTGTCCCTGCTATTTTATTTTATTAAGCTATTTTATTTCTCTACATCTTACTTTTCATTTATAAATAATTTATTCCACCAATTTTCTTGCTTGCCTACCGAGCTTTGGATCGAATCTAACCCAGCATCTGCTTTGATGGTGGTTGCATCTGAGTCCTTGCCCATGGCCACCTTACAGTTTCTGTGGGATTAAGTGAGTTTATTACATGATGATATACATAAAGGGTATGTATGTGATCCTTTTAAGACACCGTGTCAGCTGAAGGGCATTATCCGTAACTGATTATTAAGGAAGCTATTTAGAGTTTGTCAGATCTTCCCTGAGGATGGCCTTGTAGAAACCGTTCAAAACATCCATTATCTCATGTAGTATCATTTTGCATTTAATGTACATGCTAGGGGGAAAATCACAAGGCTCTGGCTTGATTCAGTTTTCTGGGAGGTCCATAATCTCTTGGGGCCAATGGATGTGATTGAATAATGGTCTCCTGTTGCTCCCTGAGGTATTCAGGATTAGGGTTTTCAGTGGGTAGATTTTCTATGCCCCCCTGGTTTTTTTTGTTTTTTGTTTTTTTTTTTTTCATCTCTGTGAGTTCATTTTGACCATTTCTCTTTAGCAGGGATTTAGCAGAACAAAGAAATGAGAGATTCATGTGCTAATTCACTCAACAAACATTTACTGAGAGTCCAAACCACTAGGGGTGGAGAGAAGACACTATGCAAATAAACACAGACATATCAGATAGCGAATGATAAAAACAGAAAACAAAACAGGATTTGGTGACAGGAAGTGGGGTGAGAGGGTGACTGTAGGCTACAAGACATGACATTCAAGGGGTCACATGTCAAAATCATTCAGTCTGCTAAGGCTAATTCTAATATTTTAAAAAATGGAGTTGGCTTTATAGGTTAAAAGACTCTGTAGTAAGTGTAGCTTCTTGAACGTAATTATTATGAGAGTACTATAGGTTTGAAGACGAGTTAAATCTGAATCCTGAGACAGTATCACTAAAGATAACAGGACAACATTGTGTGAGCCTAACTCTGTTAAGAATTCCCTGCTCATGCAACTCTCAAGGTACCAACAAATAATGATTTTGAGCAGTACAAAAAAACAAAATTTAAATCTTGTGGTATACTTTTGGTTTTGTGGGTTCTGAATTCACTGGTTCTCAAGGGAAAGACTTATTAGGAGTGAGATCAAAGTATGGACTGTTGTTTTGACAATGGAGAGAAGGTCTGAGGAAGATTAAAAAAAAAAAAAAGAGGCCCCTGCTTTTTAAGAGCTGTTTTTAGCTTTTGCCAGTCCCGAGCGTGGTGAGGCTAAAGCAGACTTTTCAGGCAGCTCAGCCACCCACGTGGACTCTCTGCTTGGGGAAGTATAGTGATCTAACAGGCAGAGTGGGAAGGATGTGTAACCTGACCCACAGGCCTTTTCTACTGGGAATGTTATTATTGCATTGCCTGAAGCTTTTTACTCTATGGCATTTGGGTGTCTAAAATGAATTAATCAGTTCTTTTTTTTTTTGTCTGTCATTTTTTAATTCTGATGTACTTGAGTTTCCAAGTTATAAGACTATTTGGTATCATCAGCATAAACAATAATATAAAAAGTACTAGAAAAAAGTCTATACTTTACAATTCCTTTGTTCTAAATCATCTCGGCTTTCTGTAAAGGGCCAGATAGTAAACATGTTTGGCTCCTGTTGTACCAACTCAGGTATGCTAATATAACAGGAGAGCAGCTGCAGATTGTACATAAATGACAGTTGTGGATGGCTGTGTTCCAAGGAAACCTTCTTTACAAAAGCTAGCAAAGGTTTGGCTATGGTCCTGGGCCACAGTTTGGCCACACCTTTCTCTAAATCAACACTGCTTAAAATGTTTTTTTGGTATATTAGTTCTCCTTAACAGCCTATCAGAAACTTAGTTGCCAAATAGTCTGGAAATGCTACATGCAGTATACCTCACATGGAGATTTATAATTCTTGCCCATTAAAGTGTTTAGTATAATATAGCATATTAGTAAATTCTCTAATAAAGACACTATTTGCCTTTGTTCAAGTATTTCCCAAACATATTTGACCACGAATAAAGCAATGCCTGTTCATATCCCCATTCAAGTGCTGTCCTACCCCATTCAAGAACAATCAGTAGATAGTCCAGAAGTGCCATATTATACCAAGAAGTCTGCAGGCAGGAGTTAGGATATCAACGTGAGGGTGGTATGCTGGGTGAGCCCTACATCTAAGCAGGCTCAGGTACATTTAAGAAATGAATGTTCAAGCCAGGTACTGGTGACTCATGCCTGTAATCCTAGCAATTTGGGAGACTCAGATAGGGAGGACCATGGTATGAGGCCAACCTGGACAAAAACTGCACAGAGACCCCACCTCAGTCAATAGTTAGGTGCAGTGTGTGCACCTGTCATTCCAAGCTATGTGAGAGGCTGAGATCATGACCCTCCCAGGCCAAAAAAAAAATTTGCAAGTCTGTGTCTAAATGGAACAAATGGTATGGTGGTGCGTGCCTGTCATCCATCAACAGTGGGACGCATAGAAGAGGATCACCATCTAGGTCTACCAGAGCAAAAACTAGACCCTATCCAAAAGAGCCACAACAAAAAGGACTGGAGGCACTCATGGCTCACGCAGTAGAGCGCCTGACTAGCAAGTGTGCAACTCTGAGTTCAAACCCCAATACTGCCAAAAAGAAAAGAAATGATGTTCTGTATGAGAGGATATTATCCTCTGAGATTTGCACAGCTGGTATCCAAACCATTGGAGGCTTTGATTTGATGAGAAAAACAAGCAAGGTATTGGAAGAGTCACATGGCCATTTTTCTTCCTGGAGTATTTGTGTGTAAAATAAACCCTTTCTTCTTATTTTCTAGACCTTGTTCCCATCAGGATACCTAATCCCTCTCACCCAGTGCTCATCCCTAGGGACAGAACCCATTTTGTCTAGTAAAGAAAACTCAGGTACACTTTCTCCAAACCACAGGATCTACGGCTCCCCAATTGCAGGTGAGTATGCAAAGCACTTTCTAACATGAGCCAGCCAGTTCACTTATACTGTATAAACTTTGAACAAATGTATAGGCTTTTAAGATCTCGTCCCTCTTTTTTTCCAGGTGTTATTCCAGTGACATCATCTGAACTCGCTGCTGTTAATTTTCATGTGACACCTTTGAAGCTAATGGTCTCACCAACTCCTGTTGCAGGCCTACCCGTTGGGAACAGTCCGGCTCTTGCTTCGAGCCACCCGGTTCCTGTCCAGAACCCAAGCTCAGCCATTGTAAACTTCACACTGCAGCACTTGGGACTCATCTCCCCTAGTATGCAGGTGTCTGCCAGCCCTGGGCCTGGAACCGGAACTGTTCCTGTATCCCCAAGAATAGAAGCAGTTAGTGTTGTACCAGAAAATGCAGGCTCTCAGCAAGGAAGGGCCACCAACCATGACTCACCAGTCCTGAGCCAGAGCCAACCAAATGGACAATCAATTTCTGTGACAGGGACACAACAGGTGAGAGGATTTCTATTTAACTTAATTATTTCTTGAAAATATATCTGTATGATAGGAGACTCTCTTTGCCTTCCTTCTTTGAAGAAGATAATGGCAGAGTGAGTGATTGAAGGCCCAATCTACCTTCTAGATGCAGGAAGAGCACCCAACAGGTTCTTATTGGGTTCTCATGAGGTTTTCATCTCTCCTTAGCAATAATTGAGAACATAAGACTCACCAAGGCTTCCCTAACAGATTTTGGGATGTGCTAGTTTCCCAACATGCAACATCTGTCTAGCCCAGTCTTCCAAGTTGGCTAGGGTGTGTTTCTGTGTGAATTTGACTCCTTTTTCCCATTCTTCTTTCCTATTAGCCCATTCCTGTTACACCCAAAGGGCCACAATTAGTGGCTGAAAGTTTCTTCCGTACCCCAGGTGGACCAACCAAGCTGACTGGCTCATCCTGCATGGATTTTGATGGTGCTAATAAAATCTCCTTTGGAACCCTCTTTGTCCCACAGCGAAAACTGGAAGTCTCAACAGAGGATGTCCATTAATCAACTAATTTTCTAAAGAGCTATTTAATAGAGAAGATGTGCACAGACTAGTTTCGAGAATACCATCTCTGAAAATACTGTAAATACGTCGGGGTGTTTACTCAATGTCAAAGCAAATACTTGTTTTCGTACTTACATACACACAAACACAGACACATTGTATAAGGCTAACTTTAGCCCTCAATCCTACAAAATAAAAGTAAAATGTTGAACTAAGGTATATTAACTTCTAGGGGAGGAAAGATTCATTATTTCAGCTGTGCTTATATTATTATGCAAAGTAACTATTAAAATTTGCTTCCCTTTGAGTGAATATGTTTGACATGCCTAGCACAGCACTCAAACTTTTTTGCACAAAGAAAATGCTGTGTGATGTATAATGTTGTATTTTTACATAGGAGGTCTATAGCTATATTTTTTGTAATTTCTTTAATCCATTGTTGTGGTATGTCTTTTTGTAGAGTTTGCAACAATCTTCAATCAAGTCTATGGAAAAATTATTTATAAAATGTATTTTTAATCATAAATTGTTCAAATTAAAATTTTTCTAAAATGTAGTTAATATTTTCATTTGGCCACTTAGGGCATTGTTGGGAGAAAATTAAAATTTATCCAATCTTAGAAGCAGATTCTTGGGAAGGAGAACATAACCTGGGACTTAGATATACAAAGTTTGTAGAAGTTTCTACATTCTTTCCCTCTTGTGCCCTTTGGTATTGCTTGGAATTGTGAACATGGCTTTAATCAAAGATATCGCACTAAGTACCATGTGCTTTCCACCCCTCCCTGGGTAGCCCCTGTCCTGCTCTGGCATGACTAGCACTTATCCAGGCCTCATTCTCTCCACAGAGGAAAGCCCACCACCGAGGTCTAGCCCTAGGGAAAGGAAAATAGGCATAAGGGTTCCAATTTCGTCCACTCTCAGGGAACCACCACACTAAGCCCTAGTGAGCTCTAAGAGAAGGAATGAACTACAGTGTGTTAAATGTGCATCTTCTCAACCCCCTTTTTATGGACAAATTACATCTTGAGAATTTTCAAGTGCCTTCCATAGTCAAGGACTAAAAGGATCATCAAAATATCTATTTCCTACATGTTTACTCTGTGCCAGACACTATGTTACACATTTTATAAATATGCTACACATTTTCATTGCACTATGAGTTAGGACTATGAGGTTATTGAAATTCAGAGTTTAAAGCAGTAAGTCCATGGTCACACAGCTAGTACAGGCAAGGATTCAACCTATGTCTATTGGATGTCACCCATTACCCAAGGATCTAGCTCCAGATATAACCAAGCAGCTCTTGACAAACCAAGCATATTTTTATCAGGTAATCTGAACATTTGAAAGGTCACCCTTCCAAATATACTCGTTTTGTTTACATAACCAAGTAAAGGTAAGAGAGGGCAGATTTTCACATTGACCTAAAAAAACCCTCTTTTGCTATACCACTAGAGAACCAATGTGAGTAATGTAAGTATATTTGCCTTTAGTTTTATTCTATTTGGAGAGTATACAAATGGTCCCTGATAAAAGAAATGGCCCTTGCTTTTAGGGTACTTATAGTTAGTTGAGAAATATATAACTAAATAAAGTGTTTTCCATGCAATAAACAGAAGATTAATTGCTATGGTAGACAGAAAAAATATATAGTTCTATAGAAGCTGCTAGATTTAATTGTATACTCAGAACTGAGAGGAATGCAAACCCAGAAAAGAATTACTGTAGCCCAGGAGGTGGGTCTCCTTAGACCCCCCTTCTCTATAGCAGAGCTAGAGGATGGAGGCCAAGGTTCTGTTTGCTATCCTCATCAGTTCTCCACATGAAGAAGAACTTCTCTAGAGTAATCATATACACAGAAAGAAGAGGTTCTCTGGGGACTGACCCTCCTAGTTATGCCACTCTGACAGATCTTTGGGGTTGTCTCTTTATCTCTACCTCTTGGTGTTCACATTCTTGTGCCATCCCCTCCCCTAGAGTGTGGGTGGGACCTGTGGCTTGGTCTAACCAATAGAACACTGTAAAGGTGATAGAGTTTGTATGACTGTGTGTGTGGTTGTATGATTACATCAGACTGTAGTACATGTCTGGCTGGTGTCTCTCTCCCTTATTGACTTTGAGAAATCAAAGAAACCAGGAAACCCAACGTGGTAAGAAACTAGCTAGCCTCTTGTTGCTAAAGGTGGCCTTACAGTCAACAATCATCAAGAAACAAATCTTTGGTCTTACCTGTAGCCACAAGAAACTAAATTCTGCCAACAACCTGAGGAGAGTAAGCTTAGAGCAGATCTGTTATGGTTTGGATATGAAATGTCCCCCCCAAAGGCTTACGTGTTGAAAGCTTGGGACCATAGGTCAGTAGTGTTCAGAGGTAGAAGCCTTTGGGAAGCGACTGAATCATGAGAGTTCTGACCTCATCAATTTAAAGCAAATTCCCTCAACCTTGTCCTTTTCAAGTGATTAGTGTTCCTGCAGATAAAAGAGCCTTTGGGAGGTGATTAAATCATGAGAGTTCTGGCCTCATCAATGGATCAATCCATTGAACTTACAACTTAATAGATACTGGGAAGTGATAAAACTTCAGAAGATGGGGCCTAGTTGGAAGAAGTTCACTGGGAGTGTAGTCTCAAGGGTTATATCTTGTCCCAGGCCTCTTCAGCTCTCTCTCTCTCTACTTCCAGACACCATGAGGTAAATAACTTTGCTTCACTACATATTCCACACCATAATGTTCTGCCTCACCGCAGGCCCAGAAGCAATAGAGCCAAATGACCATGGACCAAAACCTCTGAAACCAGGAACCAAAATTAATCTTTTCTCCTTTAAGTGGATTTATCTGGTATTTTGTCACAGTAGCAGACAGCTAACTAATACAGATGAGCCTCAGGTGAGATTGCAACCCCAACTGCCACCTTCATTGCAGCCTTATGAGATACTAAACAGGGGACCCTAAGCCATGCCTAGACTCCTGACCCACAGAACCCAAAATAATAAATGTGTATTAAGATGCTAAATTTGTGATAATTCTGTTAAGCAGCAATAGAAAATAAGTGCAGCCACATAACCTTAAGTGTTCATAAATATATCTTCCTGTTTGTCCTGTTATGATTCATTGGTTTTATAAGCATTCATAGAAGAAAACATCCCTGGAATGTGGTAACTCCAAATACTTTAATGGAAGAACACTCTGTTCGTTTTTGTAGCTGGAAACAACTTTAAAGATGCTAGGTAGTAGTGCAGTCATGGACAGTTACCCTCCCAGCATGCAACTGCTTTTCCCAAACTGCCTTCTTATTTACTCTTAAGGAATTTCATTTTCCACATTGGATGAAGCGTAGTGAACTGTTACTGGGGACACAATCTATGTCTAGCAAGAGTGGACCTGGCATCCAGCCTAAACCAACCTTCTCAGATTTTGATGTTCCACTTCATCCCGGCAGCAGTGGGTGTTTTCACCATTCTCTTTTCATTGCATTCTGTTTATATAGCTGGAGGTCCTGCTTCCCAAAGCCTCTGCAGAAGCACCTGTTTATGTTCAAACCTGAGTTCAGCCATCCACTAATCCCCTGAGCCTTTGCTCAATTTATTTCACCTAAAGTAGCGAGTTATCTCTGTGACTTACCAGATCATAGAGGAAAACTCAGAGTCAAGACTTCCCAGTTCATAGACGACTTAATACCCTGTTCTCTGGGCCTGGTAGAAATCCAACCAAAGAGGAAATAGAAAGTCTTTTCAGAATTGCTTATCTCACCAGAAAAATGAAAGTAAGTCACCTATGTTCAAGCGAATGTAGAGTGCCATTTTACCTGAAAGGGAAATTATTGAAGAGATAGGAGAAACCCAGGAAACTGGAGCAATAAAATTTGATGCCAAAAAAATTTCTAAACAGGCTTTAAAGCAAATTCCCTGAACCTTGTCCTTTTCAAGTGATTAGTGTTCCTGCAGATAAAGGATAAAGAGATTTTTAGAACTTAAAGCAGATAAGCTGGTCTGAACAATCCTATTAATTATATAAAAGAGTGTGAGTTGACTGCAGATTCTTTAAGTACTCATCACCAAGTGGTACTTTTCAAATCTTGAGAGTCTAAAATAAAAGATAAACTCAAAGGAAATGTGTCATTCTTTTAGGTTGAGAAAGTATCAATCTCTTAATCAACTTTTAAAGAAGTGATTTTACATCTCAATGTCCCACTGATTTAAGTGCAGTCAATGTCATGCTCAATTACATCAGTAGCTAAATGAAGACTTGTGGTGATTGTCGACATTTTGTAGAAAAATGTGGGTAGGGAATACATTGTCAGTGTCCTCCAACAGTCAGGTCGTCAACAGTATTTTTGAAAGACATGTATGCAGATATTCCCTGGTTTACAATGGTTTAACTTACGACTTTTCAACTTTTATCATGGCGTGAAAGTGAGTCACATTCAGCAGAAACTGAACTTTGTGTTTTGATCTTTTTCTGGGCTAGCATTATGCAGTGACCCTGGCTAGTGGCAGCAAGTCACAGCTCTCTGTCTGCAATGGGATCCTGAGGGTAAACAATTGGTACTCTATAATATTCTGTGTTGCTAAACTCTGATGTATGGTAGGTTAAGAAAATTAAATACTTTTCAACTTATTTTTAAACTTAGGTTTAGCAGGGCCTAATCCCTTCATAAGTAGAGGAGCATCTGTATATTGAACTATTTTGAAAATATTCATTCAGTTTTTACAAACCCTTAGCAATATGTTGTACAAACACTCTCATCCTACTTTATTTAGTAAAATATTCTATGTGTGAATCTCCTAGAAGTTTGTTTTGAATGAAAACATTTTTATTTCAGTTCTATGCATTGAAATCTTTCTAAAACGATATAATACAGCTCCCCAGTTATAAACAGAATGGTTTGAATATAATTTACCTTTTCTTCTTGTTTCACAGATCCATTAGCACTATTGTTAAACTCAAATTCAACAAATACAATGTTAGGTTAGATCGCCAAGGATACAGTAATGCCCTCAGACACCCTTTAATGTGTGAGTCTATGCCCACCTCAAACTTATGGCCCTAAATAGATGCTTTTGATGTTCTATTCTTTATGGTTCTTAGTCTCCATTTTTTTCTGTGATACTGGGTTTTGAACTCAGGGCCTCATACTTACTAGGCAGGTGCTCTGCCACTTGAGCCAGTCTGCCAGACTTTTTTTTTTTCTGTGTGTGTGTTGGGTATTTTTGAGATAGGGTCTCATGAACTATTTGCCCAGGCTGGCTTCAAACCACGATCCTCCTGATCTCTGCCTCCTGAGTAGCTAGGATTATAGGCGTGAGCCACTGGCACCCAGCTCTTGATCTCCAATTTTGATATCAACTTGTACTACTTTGTCCCTCCATCGTCATAATTAGTATCTCTCTTTTAACCCAGAAAAACTGAAGGATTCCAGGGGAATTCATATCACCAAACTCATGTCTGTTTTTTTTTTAATTATTCATATGTGCATACAATGCTTGGGTCATTTCTCCCCCCTGCCCCCACCCCCTCCCTTACCACCCACTCTCTCTCTTACCCCTCAC